TTTACTAATCATAATTACTACAAACAAATAATTAATACAGGAATTTACCGCAACAAACAACCAAACGACAATGATGGGTAAACAAAATGTACACGAGTAAACCCCTTTCGGGGGAGAGAATGTAGGGAGAGCAAGTAAATGGACACGCAACGCGCAGACAAATTAAGCAAATTGAAAATTAACATAAAACTCAAGCACTGCAAGGAACATAGAATATCATCAAATCGAAAAAATGAGCGCATAAATGAATAAATAAAATCAAACAATAAAGAAAAAATAAAGGGAAATTATTGGGAGTAAGGTGTTGGAAATTACGTGAATTAATTGAATACGCGATGATATAAAGGAAGAGCGCAAGTTTTTTTCGTTTTTTGTTTTTTTTTTTTGGCAGCTTGCTATAGGTGAAACAATTAATATAAGCCAAAGGTACTATTGTCTCATTTGAACACAAACACTTGGACATAAGCAGCACTTGATCGAAGCAATCAGTAAGCGAGCGCTGCTAAAATGGTGTCAAATCCTTCATAAACTCATAGATAATTTTATTTTTTGTCAGCCCCCTTCCGCGAAGTACACGAAATCATTTTCGTATACGTTTAATTGTTTATTATCGTGACACAAATCGTGGCAAAACCCCTACCAATGCGGATTGTTTGTACCATCCCTGCAGTGAAAAGCCAAACCAGTTAGAAAAAATACTAGTTCATTAACTAGTATGTGCCTACCAGTTCGACAATTTCGAAGAACTTAGGCGATTTGAATTGCCAAAGCCAAAAATAAAACGCAATTAATTGCTTTTCTTACAAATGTCGGCTGTGGCGTCACGTGAAGACTACTGGTTCTGGTTCTGAAATCGCAGGTTCGAGGCCGCTTGGAGGTGGTTAAGATTTTTAAAGTTAAATAAATGTAAGTAAAAATAATTTATTCAATTTATAAATAAATAACAAATTTGAAAATCTNCTGGGCATAGTGGTGAGTGAGAGTGTGATCCAGAGAGGGGAATAAAGAGGGAGACACCACATTTTTGGAATACTGGCAAGTAATTGCAGCAGAAACGCAGAAAGATTATTACGAAATCGATGCCTTTTAGCCAAATTAAATGAGAATTCATAGCCACAGAGTATAAATACAATAAATACGCAATAGGTATTTAAGTTGGCATGGGTTAGCGGTGGGTACCTATGTATATTAGGGTGGTCCAAAATTGCAGTCGGAAGTTTTATACTCTCACTCCCTAGGATTGCTCTATACCGGAAAAATATACTCCTCCTTTTTACTTAGAAATCCAAAAATTTTTAGAGTTCGCTCAAACCGCTCAAAGTTTTCCATGTATTTTATACGGGAAAAAACAACTTTTCGTAGAAATGGTATAGAATTCTTGAAAATCAATATTTTCCGATCGAAAAACTCTGGTTCTCTTCAGGAGAATTCTAGTAATAATACCTAATTTTTTATTTCACCGTTTTTTCAAAGTAAATATATTTTATAGGTGCGCTAAAAACCCCAGAAAATGCATTGAGTGGACCACTAAAACATCTTTAGTAGTAAAAAATGGTTAAATAAATAATTGGGTATTATTATCGGAAGTCTCCTCAAGAGAACCAGATTTTTCCGATCGAAAAATATTGATTTTGAAGAGTTCTATACCATTTCTGCGGAAGTGTTTTTTCTCATATAAAATACACGGAAAACTTTGAGCGCTTTGAGCGAAATCTAAATATTTTTTGTTGGTTAAATAAGGAAAATGAATTATCAACAAAAGTTTACGGGGTGAACATAGCTCAGTGGTTAACGCTTCTGACTTTGCACATCAATAACGCAGGTTCGGTCACTGCTGAAGTCTAGAAAAAATAAGTCTGATGAGCAGATTTGGTGATCACCGAAATAGCTGCTATAACTTCTACCGCTTAGACTTCGTTGCTTTTTCAATTTTTCCTAATAAACAATCGTGGCAGAAAGCTCAATAAAAATATTAAAAATTAAATATTTTTTGATAAAAAAATAGGTGCATATTTTTCAATATATACAACAAGCCTAGGGCGTGAGAGCATTACAACTTTACTTTTTCTGACCACCGTAATGTACATACGTCGCAGCAAGCACTCCAACTAAGTGTCACTATGCGTGTTAATTGGTCAATATTTTTTTTTTTTGTTTTTATGTTTTTTTCTTCATAATGAATAGCTTAATATGCGCTTGTGATATCCCATGGGTTGGTTACTCGATGGCGGTTGCAACCCTTCAAACTAATGATTTACATTTTCTATGCTCGAATAATTGGGTTAGCTGTACATTTTACTTAAAACTAAAATCACGCAATTAGTCAAGCTAATGAAGTTTCAGTGCTGGAAGTATAGGAAGTGAGCGAAAAAAATTAATTCGCATTTTCATTCGAATAATGTGAAAATCTAATGCCAATGTGAAACAATACTCGCTTAAAAAGATGATATTAATATTTCAACCTGTAACCTCAGAAAAATGCATCAGAAAATTATACGCTTGAAAATTTTAGTATAAACCGAAAATTCCCTAAATGAAAGCATCTGCTTCGAACTTTTCAACAATCTTACTGAGCAGCAGAATTTAATTGCGAATGAGACTTTTAACCCTTCGACATCTAATGGAATCTTGAATTATTAAAAACTAGCAAATATCCGGCGTGCTTCACTCCGCCTTAGAAGTATTTTTGTGTTGTTACTAATGCTGGATTTCCACTAGGCATTAAATGACAAAAATTGTAATGACAAAGTTGGCCATTAAAAAATAATTCGTGCCATTACGTTAAAAAATAGTCATTAAAATCATTTCCACATGCCATTTTTTAAATGCCTCCAATGTTCTATCATTTCAATGCCAAGTGGAAATTCGGCATAACTCCCAAAACTCGTAAAACAGTAAACTTTCATAAGCCTCTTTAGTGTAATACCCGTATTTTAATATTTCATTTTGTTTTTATAATTTTAATGGAATCAATTTTTTCAAAGAGGTGGCAACCATTAGCAAAAATTATTTCGGCAGTAAACTTCTCTAAATCTCACTAGTTTAAGAGTCATATTGAAATAGTTGCTTTATCTTATAGATTAAATTAAAATTTTCAAATATGTGGCAACCTTCCACAAAAATATTATATATATATTGCAATATTTACTTTATATTTTCAATTTACTTTAACTGCAGTTTTCACACAGGTGGCAACTCTCACATTTTTTTCTATATTTTAAGCTAGACCTCTAGTAATACAACGGTGAACACCGCATTCAATTCCATGCATTAGTTTTCGAGTGGTGCGCGTACAGACAGCAGGACAACAATTTTAAAAATTGTTGATTTGGCTGCTGTTGCTCTAATAAAGACGCCCATTTAAATTTTTCTTTAATATCTATGTATAATGTACAGACATCGGCCTGTTACAATTGTATAACTCTATTAAACAACTAAAAAATTCACGTTACATTTTTGAAACACAAAAAATATATGTCCAGTTTCTTTGTACCCCAAACTGTATGAAAAGTTTTTAAATGGCGAAAAAGACATGTCTAGATTTTAAATGCCAAACATTTTTGGAAAAATTTTAGTCACTAAAAATGTACATATTTTCAAATGTCTCAAATTTTATGTTCAGTTTTTAATTAATCTTATATTTATAAGTAGTTTTTGAATGAAAAAGTATAGTTTGGAAATAATTATTTCCAAAAATATTTCAAAGTCTTCTAATTTAGACCCAAGTCGACCAAAATCTAGCAATGCAACCTATGGCTTATTTGTAACCTTGTGGCTCTGAATGGGTTAAGCAAGAGTAGGAGAATCCTGTAAATAGAAATATTAAGTCTATTTTCTTAATTTCTAACTATTTTTAAATGATTCTCATTATGGAGAAGTATTTTATTTGATTAGATTCTTTAACCCTTATATGATCTTAAGCAGGGATCACACGGTTTGTACCTTTGTATATTTTTACAGCCACAGAGTGGTGTTTTCAAGAAATTTGCATCAAGAATGAGTAATTGTCAAAATGTAAAAAAATGCAAATAGTGTGATCCCTGCTTTAGATAAAAATTACGTTGAAGTCCTTGCGGGTAGAATTCTACCCACGTGCTTTTTATTCAATTTTTATTAATTTAGTTCAAAATTTTCCGCTCTGATTGGTTTTACAGAAGGATTTGGCGTACAAATTACATATCAAATCACTCTTTTTGTCCTTTACACAGACATCATTATAACCTGAACAAGTTGTTCAAAAACAAGATACCAAAGAATGCATGGAAAAGCTCCAAGAAGTAATAAATATTATAGTTATATAAAAATGTCATTAATTCTCGTAATCATATTTGCGTTTCTTGGTATTTTTGTTCAAAATTTTGTTGGATAGAAACGTACTCTAAAGGCACAAATTGCCACTTTTTTAAATTACCAAAAGTTAAAAAAAATACAATACAAGTAGAGTGAGTAGAATTCTATGCAAAGGTCATATGAGGGTTAAGTAATTTAAAATAAAATAACATAATATTTAGGACTTCGAAATATCTAACTGTAACCCCAAGTAGACAGGCTATAATATGGCATTTGAACTTGAAAATTTTCTAATATATGACTTCATGGCGCTTGAAGGGTTGAATAACAAATATTTACTTTCCTGTACTTCAAAAAAGTTAAATGTTTCTCCAAATACACTAAGATATGAAATTAGCACTGTCATATTTTTCTTACTTTGGTGCGCAAAGGATTAAAAATTGTAAGACTGGACTAGTTTCCCGACCATGATATATGAAACAGATCTTTGGAATGTTTAAACATCACTTCAATTTATTTAATACCGACCCAGATGCTTCGCCGTACTCAAGCAATTTTTGCACCGAAAAAATTTCACTCTCAGTTCACACAGCTGCTGACATCCTTTCACCAACTCTCTCGCATTGCACATCCGCCTAATCATTTCCTCATTCCTCATTTCGTTCATCTTAAGTAACTTAATTTTCTTGAATAAAAAATATAACTCTTACCTGAAAGTTGCGCGCTCCCCGCTTCTCCTCACCCTCGCTGCTGCAACTGTACGAGCGTTGATGAACATCTGCCGCGCTAATGATCGCCGTCGAGTCCGGATGCTGGTGTTGTTGTTGCGCAACATAATGTTGCAACTGCTGTTGGTGATGTTGGTGGTGTTGCTCATGCGCCGTCGCCGCCTCTGCCGCCGAAATCGAATTGTTTGCTGAGTAACGGATCGCATCCTCCGTCATATCCGCATCTTCTTCCGTTTTCAGCTGTTCCACGCCATCATCATGGCTATCGTAGCTGCTGCCTCTTCCCAGGCGACTTGCATTCCTGCTAAGCATTGTTATCTCATTATTGTTGTTATTGTTGTTCTGCACGAAAGCATCCGCGCGACTCTGTAGCTCCTTCAGATGCGCTTGCAACATTTCGAAGTTATTGCCCGTCGCCAGCCCAGCCATGAAGGCAGTGCGATGCGCATAGATTTGCTGCTGCGCGGCCACTTCCAAGTCCAAATTGGACGCTTTCAGTTCTTGTGCGCGGGCAGCCGCAGCGACGGCGGCCGCATTGAATTGCGTAGCCAAAGCAGCAGCGGTGGTGGTGGCGGTGGTGGAGGACAGCGGCGATTGGAGTGCCACATCTGCGGCTGCTGTTGTGCCCAAAGAGCGGCGTGGATTGCTGGCGCGGCGTTCATACTTAAATTTGCGCACTATGGGATCGATTGCATAGGCCGCGGCGCCGCTATAGTCATTGCCCGCCGGGGACTGCTCCACTTGGGTGCGCTCGATTTTTTCGCACATACTCGCCGGTGACCAGATGAGCGAGTTATGCGAGCGACGCTTCATTGGGGAGCGTGTCTCCAGCTTGTTGAGCAGCTCGACTGTTTGCTCGGCGGTATGCGCGGTGGTCTTCAGATTAACTGCGCGCAAAGGTGGCGGCGTGCTGGTAATCTCTATGACAGTGTCGCCACTGCTCTCGTCTCGTTGCTCGGAGCTGAAGCGGTGCAATTTCTTCAGGGAGGATGTCTGTTTGAGTGACAAGTTGAGCGGCATATCGTCGGTGTTGCTGCTATCCAGCGATGGCGGCGCGAGTGCATTTTCCTGATCCTTTTCCGGTGTGAGCGTGTATTCGCGATTGTTGGCAAACGAGGCGGGTGAATTGGGCGTTGTTGGCGTGGTGGGTGTGCCGAGCGCCGATGTTGTGGAGGAGAGTAGAAATTGTGGCCATAGTACGCTGGAGTAGAAGAGCGAGTTGTAGGGGAAGGGAAGATCTGTGGGGCGAAATGGTAGGAAAATTTTATGGAATTAAATAGGTATTTGGTGACCTTGATATATTAACTATAAACTACATATAAAAACTATATCATGCACCGCACTAATACGTCATACTCTGTTGGGATATTCACAATGGTGTCGTAAACTTTAAAAGGTTAAATAAATATGTAGAAAACTTGTAAGCACAACCAACAATTTTTTATGACATTTATGGTATCTTCAGAGTCTCTTAAATATATTTTAGCCGTTTAAAGTTTACGACATCAACAATGCCATACTTACGACACCGTTGTGAATACACTATATGTCTACCCAAACAAATCACTGAGTTTCTATTGATTTTAATCGGAATTCGAAAAATATTTTAATTCTTTTCCAA